AGGAAAAAGAAAGAAAACACATTTTGGAAAAAACCCTGTCAAACAATACCTGTTGTGGGCTCTGCCTTTTCAGTGAGATGCAAATGTGTTATCCTTTCATTTCTGCAGCAGTTCCAAGTTGCATCATTAATAAGGGACTTGTTTTAGAGAGTGACAGGATGGGAACGAGCACTGTAATTACACACTGTTCTTTTTGCCACAAAAACAACTGTATGTTCTCATTACCTCCAAAGACAAGGAGTGAAACAAATTTCTAACACCTTGCCCTCCATTACAGCTGGACACTGTTCCACAATGACATGAATCATTCAAAAGTGAAAATGTACCCCGTAGAAACGTTATTCAGTAGACTTTGTACAAAAGGAGATATTTCTGCTCACCTAATCAAAGGATAATGAAAAAAAATTGTGGCTTTTCTGTAGTAGCTATGGAAGTGCATTGCTTTTTTCTTACAGATCAGATCATCATTGCACAAAGAATTTACAAAAGAAAAATGTTTCCTTGTCTTGGAGTTGGGTAATTAAAAACTTTCTTCCCACTCAGTTCACCAAATACCAGAAGAGACATTTTCCAACTCTCTTTAGTACCTAGAATTCCTTTTCTTTTTTTTTCCAATGGAAAAAAAACAACCTGTAATATAGGGAACTGACACACTCACAACTTACCTGTGCTCTTTGAGAAAAACAGTGATAAGCATTGCTCTTTTGACTTTGTTTCATCATGCTTTTTAATGCAAATTTCCTAATCTAACTTGTAAAACATTTAATATTTAGAATATACTCCTTTAAGATCCATCAAAAGAAGCAAAGCTGCATAACAATGCTTGGTGCTGGCGCATTGTGAGGCTGCTACAAAGGAATGAGGTGATTCTTTCTTTCAGGTCACAAGGTCAGGCTTCACTGCATTAATTTTGCTGAGTCTCTTTGTTATTTATAACAAACAAGGTCATTTATTTTCATTTCCTTGTTTCTAATTGCATGCATCTCCTTTGGAGTATGAACTCAGTAAACAGGTGGCTGAAATGCTGGGGAAAATGCTTGAAGCTGTTCCAGAAAAAAGGGCATGTCCCACACTGGTAAAGCAATTTGATGAGTTAGAGATTTAGTCATAGCAGGATGTGCACCTGCTTGAAAGCAAACACGCTTCTCTTTGGCACACACAGATACATGCAAATTAAAAGAGATTATTTCACTCTGAATGGTGGGCTGATATTTGATCAAATTTAACATTTTCTATTTTAAATAAAGCCTCGGTGTATATTAGTGAAACACAATCTCTTTTCAGCTGCTTTTGATTTTTTACCACTTCTCTTTGATGAGTATTACAAATGGATGATATTTCTTCACTAGCTGAGCCTACAAAAAGAGTGTGTCTCCAGAGGAGAACTTTATCAGAGAGAATCTTTATGATGAGAACCAACTCCATGCACTGAAAAATGGAATAATGAAAGCTGGGATGTCTGACTGACAAGGAATGAACCGGATCTTAAATTTTTACTTCTGAAATGAATTCCCACAAATTAAAGAGCATTCTACTGGTGTCTTTCTTTTTAACTCAGTAACACTCGTGTTTCCATGCAGCTCAAAAAGAAGCCCTAAATACATACATGGGCAGCTTTTGCATAGGTAGTTTTTGAATTTACATTAGAAAATACAGGCATGGTAGGGATAAATTTATGGCTGCTTTGTCCTGAAAGATGAGCTATATTATGGACTACCTTGATTTCAGTGGCAGCTGAGAATATAGCAGGAAGCATTAATTGTCTGGCATGACCGAGCTTTTGTTGTTGGTAGTTGAAAATGGAACTGGAGCTGAATCTGCAGGGGAAACGGGGAGTTTTTTAAGCAAGATCTATTTCCCCAAAGATGGGGGGAGGGGTGGGACACCATGCCAGTGTCCATAGACTCTGCAGAGAGCTCTAGGGCTTACAAAACCCTCTGAGCAAAGGGAGAATGCGGGAGCAAAGCCAGAGAGGTGGACGTGCCATTCCACAGGACAATTGTTTTGTCCATTTTGCAGGACTGGGCATATGGGTGTGTTTGGAGGAGGCTGTGCAGGGTCACGAATCCCCCTGCTTTCCCTGTCATTTGTCTGCAGATTATTTCCGAAGAGTGGGGCAGGGAAGGCAAATTGGTTGTAAGGATTATGCTACAGCTTTCATTGTTTAGGATGCATACTGTAGCCTTTCTATGAGAAGATTACTGTCCCAGGCTTCTCTTTCCGTGCATATGAAAATACATTTGTAATTTCAGGAAGAAAATATCTTTAGCTGGCGTGTTGGGGGAAGAAAAGTGTTTTGTATCGCTAAAAGAAGATAAAAATCCAAAACCTCTCTTTGAGCAAAATATTTGTTTTTTGAATGTAATTATAAATGTCATTGTACATTCTTCCTGACTTCGATGCTTATCTTGAAGAGTTCAGTGAAAATAAATTGTTTTCATGAAAGCAGAGAAGCCATTTGATAAACACACTGTCTCAGAAAATTGTTCCTGAAGGAGAGGTCGTTCTCTCACTTTAAAAGAAAGAGAATATGTTTTAGAAAACGAGCGAGGCAGCAGAAATAAACATTTTTGGTTTCAGTCAATTCATTTTAAAAAGCAATGTGTAAATCGCATGGAAAATTCCGCATTGATTATTCTGACTGCTGTAGAACCCTGAAATAAATGGAGTTGAAATGGACTTATATCAAAACACATTGCATTTAGCAGCAACTTGGAGTGTTATTTTACTACTGCTTTTTAGATTTGGTTTTGTGATCAGATGTTTTATTAAATATTAGCCATTCGTGGAAACGAGGGCTGATTCTGTAAGAATAAGCTTGCGGAAATAGTCTATAGAGAACTGGGTGAAATCTGTCTTTAGCTTTTGCATGCTGAAAACTCAGTCCATTGAAGCATCAGAAAAAGAGCTCAACTCTGTAAACCGAGCTTACGTCTCCTGAATGAAAGCATAGCGGTTCTGTTTGGAGAAGTTGCAGTCCCTAGATCATACTTCTAGAAACGTGTTTGTTAATTTTTAACCTGATGAATTTATGTATCTGTGTATTACTAAATCCCGAAGTCTTTCGTATCAGAACTTACCAAAAAATGGCTTGTTTTCTGATTCTCAGCTGGAATCTTCCTGCTGTTAATTCTGGACTTAATAATAGGCTTGCGGAGGATTGCATTGATTAGACACAGGAATAACCAACAAGTCCTTTGAAAGATCATTTTCAATCATTGCATGGATCTGATCTATCCCAGTAAGGTTGTATGTTAACAGCCCTATCAAAGGTGGATAGATAAATTTTTGTTTATCTTCATATGTTCTCTAGCGTTGATCACTAATTACCTTATAGAATCATAGAATCATTAAGGCTGGAAAAGACCTCCAAGATCATTTAGTCCAACTGTCCACCTACCAGCAATATTTCTCCACTAAACCACATCCTGTGGTTTACCTGTGCTGGTAGCAGGTGACATTGGTACCAAGATGGAGCACTGCCTCGTTAGCGAGGAACAGGAGAACAGCAGCTTTGCATGTCTTGCTTCTTCCCACAGCACAACTGTGGGATGGGAAGTGGTAATTGGGAGAAGAAGACGAGAGCAGATGGCCATCCCTGCTAACAAAAGTCAAGCAGATATCCTACGTAGGTCATCCCTTTCTTTCCCAGCAGTGTTGAGGCCCAGCATCTCCTTGCACCTCATTTTCATGAGGATGGCAGCCCCCCTAGAAAGTATATTACTGTATTTTTCAACTAATTGCCTGATAGAACATTGGGTGAAATGAAAACTGAAAAACATTTCTGAGTGAATCTGGTGCAGTGATGAGGATTAAATGTAACCTTTCTCATCAGGAAATACTTTTCACCGTATCTCACTAAGACCTTTCAGATAAGTTTCATTAAAATAATTCTTTTAGTAATAAGATTTGATTCTAATGCAAAATGAAAGTTTCTTCCTGACAAGTTTCTTAAGACTAACGCAGAAATGCAGAGAAGAATTTGGGTTGCTTTTGATAAGCATTTTTCTGCTGAAAGGTTGCAGGCATTTTTTAAACAGTAGATGCCCCTCTTTTAATTAATTCATTTGTTTAAATTCTGTACAAATATGAAGAGGGCCAGAGGGGAAAATAAACCAAACCAACCAACCAAAAGAACATCCAAAAACATAGTGATGGCTTTATATCAACAGAAACATAAAACAAAACATTTTACATCTCTAACCAGGCCTTTCCATCTTGCTTTAGAATGGCAGCTGCAGATGAAAAGAATACCTTGCACCGTTCTCTTAGTTTCATCTAAAGCTTTTATTCTTTAATGCTTCTTCTAGAAATGACACTCTTCCAGTCATTGTTCTCTTAAAGAATTTAATTTTTACATCACCAGACAGTTCCTTTTCTGTTTTCAGTACTGCAGTCAGTTTGTTTTTCATCGCGGTCTTTATCTCACAATAGCTGTATACTACTGTGTCAGGATACTGTAGCACTGCAGTCAATAGCAACAGGATATTCACGCTGTCAAAAAGTAATCCTATATTATCCATTACACACAGGTTATTTTGGAGCGCGGTGGAATACTTTCTTAAAGTGACAAAAACCTTTTTGCTTTAAGACAGAAATAATGTTTCAACTTCGTGGCTGTCTGTGTTTTGTAAACAGCCAATAAATCGGAATGCTTTTTTTTTTTTTTTTTTTTCTGTTAGAATAAGGTTAAAATTGCCAAACACAGGTTGAGGTTGTGAAACACTTAAGGTAAAATGAGATTTCAGTAATGCACAGAAGCATCAAATCAGGTGCATGTAAGTGTTTGAAAAGCTTCAGCGTTTTGTTTTTCCCATTGTCATAAAATCCTGCATTTCCCAGCTTCAGACCAGAAGAAATAGAATTTTAGCTAGCCAATAACTTATATTTTTGCTTTTTTTTCCTCAAATCACTCTACATTTGCATATATTTAAATAATTATTAGTATATTTAAGGAATGACTACAAAAATAATTTTTTAATATATCATTTAATTTGTAGTTTTCTGCATAAAGCAATGGAGGCAGAGGAGGCAAAGAACCAGCTGGCAGATGGGCACCAAGCTCCAGACCTCCAGGTGACATGGCTGCTCCCATCTCTCCTCTACTGCAGGAAACGTGGTCAGTGACTAATAAGCATTTATCAATCTCTGCTTGAGATACGTGCTGAGAAACAGAGGTATCAATGAATATTTGAGCTGAATTAATGCAAACAAAACAAGTTTTTGCTCTGTTGCCTTGTTTATGTAGAGTATTTCTGCCTGTAAGATCACTTGTGAATGCCAGTTGACCCTACATGCTGAGAAGGGGACATCAGTGAGATGAACTAATTAGTATGCTGTTAATTGCGCTTTTTCTTAGACAAAAGTTTCCACTGCACTTGTTGCTTTGAGGAACAAATCAAAATATCATTGATTCTCTGCAGCTGTACTTGATAAGTAGAGTATAGGTCTAATTCACAACCCATTGCAATCAATTAAAGGGATTTCCTATTGATTCTAAAAGGGTATAGATTGCTTTCTAAACCTAACCTGGTTGGTGCTCTATCTTCTCTTCACCTGTTTTCCTTTCATTATGTTCTATGCCCCTTCATCCTCTATGGCTGCTCTGGTGGGAAGGGCCAGGCATGCTCCTCAGCAGATGGCGTGAGGATGCTGTGTTCTTCCCCCTCCTCTTGCTCCGCCCAGGCCATAGAGGCCACCAGATGTAGACCATGTGCTTTTGGCTTCAAAAGAATGAGCCACAACCTGTGGCATGGGGTTTGTGATACAGACTGGGAGCCTGAGGCAGGGCTTACAATAATGCAGTTTGAGTGGTCCATAAAGGTAGCAGCGAGGATCACTGGACAAAGCAGATAAGCCATAACCGTGGAGTGTGTTGTGCTGCCTTGCTGTGTCCTAGCATAGAGAAAAGGGCTTGCCAGGCTGGTGTGGAAATCAGCAGCACCTGGAACATTGGTATTTACCTATGCAAGCAGGCAAATGCTGCACTGGGCAGCCGTGAGAATTTGTGCACACACACTTTCAACTCTGTATATGACTGATTCACTGCAGTCCAATTTCTGCTCTTCCATCAGAAAAGCAGTCTGAGCATCCTTAATGGCTTTTAAAATTGAGTTGTGCTGATGACTCAGAAGAAAGTATAGCTGAAGATGGAACAAAGTCACAGTTTGTGTGTGACTGCCTGAATCATCACTGTTGGCATTAGTAAGCACACGGTCCAGTTTCATTCAAGTTCACTCCAGTTCTATTCAAGTTCTCAGAAAGTTTCTTTGAAACCGAGGCTGCCCAGTACCAGAGAAACTGGAGTGCCCTGCTTAGAGCAGATAGATGCTTCCTGTCATTCAATCAGCAGAAAAGATGGGCAGTACTTCAAGTTGCAAATACTTGATACTTCCAGCAGCTCTGAAAGAAAATGTAGAATTCTGAAACTGGAGTTTTACTGAGGGATCTCAAATTGAATGATTTGAGAGAATTTATTGGACTCCTTTCAAGTGATATGTACAGAAAGATAAACGTTCTTTGGCTCCTATTCTATCTTTAATGTACTCCAGAGATAAATACTTTGTTCCTAACAGCCAGCTCCAACTTCATGTATATGGATTTAAAGCCTAGCAGAGATTACTTGAGTTTACTTATTTAATAAACTACATTGAAGAGGTGTCAAGAAAGGAAAACACACACTTGTTAATTTTTTAGATTGTAAAATTCCCTCTGGTGCATTATCACATAAAACATAATATTTTGTTTAAAGAGAAAAAACAAATTAGCACATCTATCCCAGTGTCTCTTCTGTTCTTCAAATCACCCATTAAGTTTGCTGCAGTCTTACTAGTTCTACAAAATGCTGAATTTTGGCATTGGCAGAGATCCCAGTTTGTCATGGTCAGGGACTGGATTTCTTTTTTCTTCCAAAAACCACTGGATTTCTGTGTTTTAGTTTCCTAAGTTTAAAAATACACACTGTTTCAAAGCCTTTGCCCAAGTAATATTTTGGGGATAAGCATCTTACCTTGCTGGAATTAAAGACAAACTAATATCTGACTATTTTTTTTCCATTTCAATTTCATACTGACTCCCTTCCACATTGAGGACAGGTGGAACATGCTGGGATTTTCCAATTGTACTTGTTCTTTTCAGAAGAAACAGGGTTGGAAGCAGCACGCTCCGTTGCAACACTGTCCCATCACTTGCTTCCAAGGCGGCAGCGACCCTGTATCCTGCCCCACATCCTGTGCTTGGAGCCAGGCTGGCCTGGGGTAGAGCTGCCAGGACACTGCTCCAGGCCTGCCTGCCTGTCCAGCAGCAGTGCTCTGCATAGCCCAGAGCCATATGCTGCATGGATCTGCCACACGTGGGGTATCCTTTCACTACAACCACAGGATCAAATCCTGAACTCATAATCATTTGCCTGTTATTCCTTGCTCAAGCACTTTCCTTCTGGATTCCATGGGAGCATGCTTTCAGACTGCATTAAGAGTTTAGAGAGCCAGAGCAAGGGGGTCTGGAAATGCCCTTGCATTTATATAGCAAGGCACTCTGCCCTTGCTACCTGAGAGTTGTTTATCCAGCACATCCACTTGTTTTGCAGAAACGTTTGCCACCTAATGACTAAAGCAAAGCAGGGATTGCTTTATTAGCCCAAGCTCAATGCTGAGAAGAGTTTGTTGTGCCCACGCATGGCCACTTTTCTGCTACTGGAGCACTGCTCTAATGCAGTGGTGCGTTCTGAAGCAGATTCAGTACTTGGCTGTCTTTATTTCTAAACAATTGCTTTCTCTAAGGAGCATAAATAATTTTTGCCACAGGTATGGGGTTTGCCTGTGGGAACACTCAACTGAGCGTTCTTCAACCATTCTCCTTGTAGCAACAGAGCAGATTTTTGCAGTTTTCCCCTTTGGTTAGGAATGGTTGATGCTAAATGAATATGCAATTGGATTAAGTATTTGGCTGCATGTGTCTGCTTTCTTTTCTGCTTAGGCACTTACCAGTTCATGCACATTTTTTCCATAAAGCTAGATAATAAATACTCCATGTAAATACAGATGTATATCCATGCTATGTTTAATGTTGCTCGTGGAGCAAAACATCATTTTAGAGATCTTTCTTGGCTTCAGATTATGATATTTCCAAATCCACACCCCAAAATAAGCAGTCCTGATTCTTTGATCTGGCATTCCCAATGCTAGCAGGAGCTTGTCGCAATGTTTGTGCTGCAATAAATCTTGCAAGTAACATTTCTCAGAATCAAATCAGAAGGATGTTCCCTTTCCCATGTTGTCCTTGTTGCCTGCTTTGCCATTTGTTCCCATGTATCTGCACAGTGCAGACCTGGTTGTGGTCAGCGTTGGGACAGCAGTGCTGCCCAGGACAGCCATCCTCTGCTGGAGCTGCAGCAATGCAACAGCGCTGTCTTGAGGGGAGGTGTTGGGATGCTGTGCAGCTGAACCTCGTGTGGTGGTGGTGGCATATGGCCATTTTGGAGTAAACTGAAACACAGCTGTGGGTACATTTTCAGCTGGGTTATAACTGCATAGGACCTGCCCTGGAGCCAAAGGGCCATTCTTCCCCCATCACAGAACTTTTGAAGCCGTTTCCATCCTTTTCTTCCTTGCGCCTGGCTTGCAGGGCTTAAGTTACAGTTATGTGGCCTTTCCTACTGCTTCCGCGTTTCCTTCAAGAGTTCTGGAGCAAGATGCTGGGACTAGGAAGCCCCACACACCGCGGTGGTTACAGCTGCAGTGCGCAGCATCTCCGGTTGAACAAACGTGGATTACTAGGGGATGTTTTTGGATAGACCTCCCCCGACTTCGGGAGGTCAGAAGGTTTCTGCAGGGCAGCAGCGTTAAAGTCCCGCTCGGCAGCGCGTTAGGAAAGCCTCCCCCTGCGACCGCCCCCTCCTCGCGAGGCAGCGGTACGGATCGATAAAGTGCACCGCACGGAGAGCAAACGAGGGCAGCGGCGGGGAAAGTTCCTCACCTGCGCCCTCCGAGGAGCGGGGGCAGCCATGGGCCGCCCGAGCCCGGCGAGCAGCGGCGCGGCCCCGCACCGGCCGCCGGGGGCGGCAGCGGGCGGGCGGCGGGAGGGGCGGCGGCGGGGAGGGGCGCGGGCCCGGCCGCTCCTCCCGGGGAGCGCTGCCAGCGCGGCGCCGGCTCCTTCGGCACTTCGCGCACGGCCCGCGCAGCCCTGTTGCACCCACCGCCGCCCCCTCCCGCCCGGCGGGACCGCTGCCGCCCCGCGCTGCGTGCCCCCGCCCCGCGCCCGCCGGGGAGGCTGCGGCGCTCCGTCCGTCCGCGCTGGGCGCGTGGCTCCTTTGTGTACAGCAGCTGCTCCTGAATGCGGAGGCGAAGCCCGTGGCTCGGCACCGAGCTTTTAAAAACCGACAGCCCTCCTCCAGACCTGCCTCCCCTCCTGCCGCCGGGCGGACGGCTCCCACCTGGGCACCGCCGCTCCCCCCCTCCCGCCTACCTGCGCCCGCCGCATCCCCGCGCTGCCCCGGCCCCGGGGAAGGCACCTGAAGGTGGATCTATCACAGCTCACGGCCGGCTCTCCAAGTGCACTTCTGGGACCAAAGCACCGTCATGGATGTAAGATTTTACCCGTCCGCGGCGGGCGGCTCGCTTCCCGGAGACCCCTCCAACCTGGACTTTGCCCAGTGCTTGGGCTACTATAACTATAACAAGGTGATTACCCCAGCGCTCGGTCGTTCCTCGGGCCGGGGCGGGGGGGGGGAGGGGACTCGGGGCTCCATGGAAGCTCCGGAGCCGCACTCTCGGCTCCCCGGCGGGCGCAGCTCCCGGCCCGGCCCGGCGCCGAACAATGGGCGCTCGGCTGCGCCTCTCCGGGACGCGCTCAACTTTTCGTTCTGCGGCTCCGCGGGTCGGGCAGAGCTCCGCGGGGCGGGAAGGGACGTTGCCGGCTCCGTGCCTGTGGGACGGGAGAGAGCGGGGAATAGCTAAAAGTGCATCAGCGCTGAAGGTGACGGACGCCTGAATGTGACAGGGTTGTCAAAGAAGTTGCGGTACCACTTCTGTTTATTCACACCTTCTTTGCGGCGCGTGTAGTTTGTTACGGTCGGAAGCAATAGTGGTTCCCCTGCGGCTTACCTTCCTTTAGAAATAC